TCCTAGGACTCCCCCACCTTACCGCCTCCTGCCTCACCTTTCGGTGTCAGCTTTCCGCAGTATTTGGCCCTTACGCCCTGTATTAGTTTGTTGGGGCCACCACAACAAAGGACCACGGACGGTGTGGCTTAAACGACAGAAGTTCGTTTTCTCACTGTCCTGGAGGCTGGAGTCCAAGATGAAAGTGTCAGCAGGTTTGGTTTCTTCTGAGGCCTCTCTCCGTGGCTTCTGTATGCTCCCTTCTCTCAGTGTCCTTGTATGGTCACCTTTTAGCCTTCACGCCGTCTGTGTCCTGATCTCTTCTTATAAGGACACCAGTCGTATTGGATTAGGGCCCAACACATGACCTTATTTTACCTTAATCACATTTTTAAAGGACCTGTCTCCAAACACAGTCACATTTTGAGGTACTGAGGGTAGAGGCTTCAACATAAGAATTTAGGGGGACACAATTCAGCCCATAACAGGCCCCCTTTGCTTTTCATCTGCGTTCTCTCCCTAGGTGCTCTCATCTCCTCACTAGCCTCTGTGTGTTAGTTGCCTCCAAATCCATCTCTCTCACCCCAGGACCACTCCCTTGAACTCTGTCACCATCGATCCCACTACTTCCTGCCTCAGGACATACGGTCCCCTGACTGGATCACTCTTTCTAACTCAGAATTCCCATTTGGAACTTGTAACCTTGCGCATCTACGCCTGGATCTTCGCTTGAGTTTTATCTAAGAGAATGGCACAGAGAAAAAGCCTGAAAGTCACCCTTGACCCCTCCCTTTCCTTTACACCTCACTGGGAATTTCTGGGTAAGACCTGCCAGTTTTACCTTTAAAAGGCCTCGTATAGCCGCAGCCTTCTCTCCGTCTCCATTGCGCCACCCGAGCTGTAGCTGCTCTCATCTCTTCCCTGCACAGCTGCCGTCTCTTCCTAACTGGCTTCCCTGTTTTGCTTGCTTGGTCTTACCTCGTTTTCTCTGCTCCACGCTGCAGCGTGAGTGAGCTTTTACGAAAACCCACCTAATTTTGTCCCACGCCTCCCATGTTGAAAATATTTTGATGACTTCTGTTTTCTATTTAGGATTCGGCACGAATTCCTAGCTTGGCCTCTAAGCTTAGGGAGACTCATCTCTTGTCTGCTCCGTAGCCTCGTCTCATGCCAGACCCCGCCCCGCACTGTGAGCACTTCCATCATTGGTTGTAGACCCCTGGGCCTTTGCACATGCTGCTGTCACTCTCTCTTGCTCTCAGCCCTCCAATAGCAGCTCAAAGGAAAGATGCCCCTGTGTTCCGGACAAGGTTGGAACTTAGGGTTATGCTTTCACAGAGCCTGGCCTATTCCCTGGTACATGATGATGCATTGCATTGTGTGATTTTCTGATAAGGCCTCTGTCCCCACGAGACTGTGAGCTGCAGGAGAGTGAGGCTGGTGCGTGTGGCTCACATCATCTCCCACACACTCAGGACAGTGCTTGGTACAGAGTAGGTGCTCAGTCGGTGTTTCAAATGAATATTATCTTATCTGATTGTATCATCGTTTATTCTACCAGCTGTTTATGGTTGGAAACTGAGGGACTTTCCCAGTTTTCACTTTCACGAACAGTATCATAATGAATAGCCTTATGGATAATCATGACCCACACTTTTACTTGGAAACAAAATTACCAGTGAAGTTGTGGTGTCAATTAAGGCTTTTGACACAAACTATAACTTCCCCATTGACAAAGAATATATCAGGATTTATGTTAAGGTTTTATTTTATTTACTTTTTAAATATATCTTGATTGATTTCAGACAGAGGAAGGGAGAGGGAGAGAGAGAGATAGAAACATCAATTATGAGAGAGTCATTGATCGGCTGCAGCCCGCAACCCGGGCATGTGCCCTGACCGGGAATCGAACCCCGATTGCCTGGATCCTAGGTTGATGCTCAACCGCTGAGCCACGCCCGGCTGGGCTCTGTTAAGATTTTAAACTATAATATATAAATAAGCCCCTTTCCTTCACCTTACCAGTTGTGAGCAATATCTTAACTTTTCCCCAGTCGGATAAGCGATGGAAATGATGTGTTGTAAATGTGCACCTTGATTTCCTTGTGGTGCCCTTAGGATTTTATTTCTCACCCTGGGAGGCAGTTTAATACAGTACAGATTTTGGAGTCATTTTTACAGTATCGAGTCTTTCCACTAGGAACTTGGCTTGCCTTTCATGCAGTCCAGGTTTCATTTATGTGTCTCAATAACATTTAGGTTTTTCTTCACTATGGGGTGGTGGCTACACATTTACTAATTAATTCATTTTTAAAAGTTTGTGCTGGTTAATCAAAAATATGACAAGCAGAAATTATTCTGATATTGGTAAAAACAATGAAGCTGATTTGAATAAACGTCATGTATTTCATAGACTTTTAGAAGTAGTGTCAATCTCATCAGGTTGTTTTATGGATTAAATACATTCTTGCATATAAGACACTTTGAGAAGTGCCTAGCACATAGTAAGCACTCAATAAATAGTAGCTTTCATTATTTTCAGATGCATTAAAATACCACACTTTTGAAGGCATTATTGAAAAAAAAATGCCACTATCACCTAATAAAATACATCATGTACTTTAGTAGACAGCAATTATTAAATAGAGGAAAGACTACTATTGAAGAGTTTATTTTTTAAAAACTGCATGTCAGAGGCACTCGAGTCTGTATGGAAAGGTAGAGTGAGTCATCGGGAGAGAACTACACATGTAAAAAGTGCTGTATGAATGTTTCACTACAAAATCAGACCTGGCAACCCCTAGTTTACTTATAGTTTATCTTATTACATCCTGAAAATTAAAAGTGACTTCCCTCAGCACCATTCACAGGATGGGTTGTCATGTTACAGGAGATGTTCGAAACGATATTTATGTCACCCTGATCCATGGGGAGTTTGACAAAGGGAAAAAGAAGACACCCAAGAATGTGGAGGTGACCATGTCTGTATGTGACGACGAGGGCAACACCTTGGAGGTATGACCATGGCCCAGGAATGCCGCGGCCACCCTGCCCCTCTTCACAACACCCCGAGACTCCTGGCCTGGTGGGGATCGTGCCCCACAGGCATGTGCATTTGGTTTTTCATAAGGAAAACATGTGAAACCTATTAAAATTTGTAATTAGCCATGACCAGTTTTAGTAAGAAACCCATTTAGACTCTTATTTTTATATTTCTCCTGGGCTAAGAAATGTCTCAAGCCAGTATGAGGAAGCTGCAGCTCAGAAACAGCAAGTTGTTTTCTCAGGGAAGCACAGGAGGTGCTGCGGAGCTAGGAATGGCTCCAGGTAGCCTGGCTCTCCGCCCGGGGTGCCTCCAGCTCTCCATATGGAGCAGCGCGTCGTGATTCTGACCTCAGGGGGACTGACAGGCAGGTGGCTTTATCTCGGCCCACATCTGGCTCCACGTGTATGAGCCATGGTCACCTGCTTTGGAATCTAAGAATCAGCTGCTCCTCACTCAGCTCACCGCGTGCCTCCTCACGCAGTCACGGGGGAGGACGGAGGGGGGACAGCAAGGCACACGGCCTGCCACTCCCCTTGGATATTCAAGCCTTCCAAGGAAACAGTTGACTAAGTCACGTAGCACCCTGCGGTATGGGACAAGCAGAACGCTGTGCGCCATGGCGCAGGGGTGATTTGCCTGTGCTATTGATAGAGCCCCTTTGCCCATGAGTTCAGGTGTCCAAGTCGGTCATTTCACAGCTCTGCTAACCAGCTGGGACGCGTCCCCTTGAAGCCTGGTTTTACTGAACTACATGGTTCGTTCCTAGGAAAAGACACAGCCCTGAGTTTCAGTGAACAGGCTGTACCTGTGTGTCCTCCAAGCAGGGTGCACACAGGCCCTTGCACAGCGGTGGGCCTGGGCCTGGGCCTGAGCCTGAGCCTGGGCCTGGGCCTGGGCCCGAGCCTGAGCCTGGGCCTAGGCCTGAGCCTGAGCCTGAGCCTGAGCCTGAGCCTGAGCCTGTGCTGGCGCCTCAGCTGCTGCTCACCCTTGCTGGGCCCTGGGGAGGGGAGAGAGAATAAAAGTGCCAGCAAAGAGGAGTGTTGGGCGGGTGCTGGGCCCCTTAGCGATGACCACACTTAGACCCTCAGGGGAAGTCATAGAAACTCATTCGTACTCTGCTCTTCATTCCCAGATGTGATCAGTGTGTGCATGCCAGTGCCAGGCGTGTGCCGGCCATGTGGGGCACATAGGGTCATGCATGGCATGCGGGGCACTCTTACTGTTCTAGATAACATTGTCCCCTCCTGATTTTTTTCTCTCCATCTGCAGAAAGCCATTCATCCCGGCGCTGGCTACGAAGGCATTTCAGAGTACAAGTCGGTAGTCTATTACCAAGTCAAACAGCCCTGTTGGTATGAGACTGTCAAGGTGAGAATGAGACTCCTCTCCGACATTAAACCTCCTTTGCACGCCTGCCTTCCTTTCACCTACAAATCATCCCTACGTTATCGGGAAGTGTTTGATAGGCTGTGCTGTGCAGTAAGAAAGGAACTGGTCATTACCATCCTGTACGAGAGCATTTGTCTTTAAGAGACTCAGATTTCTTAAACCACATGCTCCTTCATGGATGTGTAGAAACGTGACTAGAGGGACTGGTTGTAATGACGTAATGGCTGCCAAGGTGGTCCAGACCCCAAAGGAGATTTTCTTCTTGGCCTCTAATGTAGTTTTCTGGGCCTCTTTTCAGTGTAAATATGTATATTATGAACTCCAAAGTGCTTTTCCGAGCATCGTCTCATGCGAGCTCTCAGTAGCCCTGTGGCTAAAACATCCCCTGCTGTAGGCCCTTCTGATGAGACTCAGAGAAGGTGAGTGGCTTCCCAGGTCCCGTCACCTCCTCGTGTCCGAGCCTAAACCGGAGCCCACTTCTGAAGGCCAGGCGCCATCAGCTCTTTCTGACTGTCCAGGGCTTCTGAGCTCTCCGTAGAAAACTCAGAAAATACACATTTGCGTTACTATCTCAATTCAGAAGTAACTGTTGTCCACAGTTCCGTATACTTCAGGTGNCTGCTGCTCACCCTTGCTGGGCCCTGGGGAGGGGAGAGAGAATAAAAGTGCCAGCAAAGAGGAGTGTTGGGCGGGTGCTGGGCCCCTTAGCGATGACCACACTTAGACCCTCAGGGGAAGTCATAGAAACTCATTCGTACTCTGCTCTTCATTCCCAGATGTGATCAGTGTGTGCATGCCAGTGCCAGGCGTGTGCCGGCCATGTGGGGCACATAGGGTCATGCATGGCATGCGGGGCACTCTTACTGTTCTAGATAACATTGTCCCCTCCTGATTTTTTTCTCTCCATCTGCAGAAAGCCATTCATCCCGGCGCTGGCTACGAAGGCATTTCAGAGTACAAGTCGGTAGTCTATTACCAAGTCAAACAGCCCTGTTGGTATGAGACTGTCAAGGTGAGAATGAGACTCCTCTCCGACATTAAACCTCCTTTGCACGCCTGCCTTCCTTTCACCTACAAATCATCCCTACGTTATCGGGAAGTGTTTGATAGGCTGTGCTGTGCAGTAAGAAAGGAACTGGTCATTACCATCCTGTACGAGAGCATTTGTCTTTAAGAGACTCAGATTTCTTAAACCACATGCTCCTTCATGGATGTGTAGAAACGTGACTAGAGGGACTGGTTGTAATGACGTAATGGCTGCCAAGGTGGTCCAGACCCCAAAGGAGATTTTCTTCTTGGCCTCTAACGTAGTTTTCTGGGCCTCTTTTCAGTGTAAATATGTATATTATGAACTCCAAAGTGCTTTTCCGAGCATCGTCTCATGCGAGCTCTCAGTAGCCCTGTGGCTAAAACATCCCCTGCTGTAGGCCCTTCTGATGAGACTCAGAGAAGGTGAGTGGCTTCCCAGGTCCCGTCGCCTCCTCGTGTCCGAGCCTAAACCGGAGCCCACTTCTGAAGGCCAGGCGCCATCAGCTCTTTCTGACTGTCCAGGGCTTCTGAGCTCTCCGTAGAAAACTCAGAAAATACACATTTGCGTTACTATCTCAATTCAGAAGTAACTGTTGTCCACAGTTCCGTATACTTCAGGTGTTTTCAATTATGCTGTTTATACAAATTTATATTGTGCTTTTAAGAACTTCTTATCTCGAAGCCTTAGTTACTCAGAAGTGTGTCTTTAGACACTGGCTTAGTATTGCATCATACAGTCATTCCAGGATTGATTGAACCGTTTGCCATAAGTTCTCTGCCCTTCTCACTGCCTCGTACACCTGTCTTTCCTGCCTCCCATCTTTAAGCGGCAGAAGTCTCCCTTGTCCCTAGTAGATACCTTTTCCTTCTATTTATAGACCGGAATCATTACCATATAAATAAACACCTTTCGGCCTGAAAGGTCCTGTATGAACCTCAGAGTGCTGGTGTTTTCTCTCTGAAGTATTTCCTGTTTCAAACTTGAGGAAATACTAGAAACTTGTAATATCTCCATTCTCAGAATCTATGATAAACAGCAAAGGTGGTCTTCTCCTGAGAGACTTTTGGCTTGAAAGTAGCTAAATCTCCTTTGAATGAAACCTTCCGCCAGATCTCCCTTTACAGGAATTAGTGCTGTGACAGGATGCTAAAAATGAGCCTCGTTCTGTAAAATGAGCTATGAATACAAAGTAACGTGTGTAAACTCCCCGTTTCTTGTGATGCAGGTGTCCATTGCTATAGAAGAGGTCACTCGCTGCCACATAAGGTTTACCTTCCGACACCGATCGTCTCAAGAGTGTAAGTGCCGGGAGGTCCGCGACATTTCCCTAAGAAGCATGCTTGCTCTTGCTTGGCAGTGCTTTCGTGGGTCTGGAGAGCAAGATACTTGCAAACGAGATACTTGGCATCTTCATTTCAGAACCCACTGGTGCTAAGGAAATGAGAAGAAAAAAATGCATTTTTCTGGGCTTCTAAGATCTGTGGTATTATTCTATATCTGAATTTCCCCAAAATGTGTTCCGTGAACACTAAATTTTATAAGATGCTAATAGATGCTCTACGACAAAAAAGGGTTTCACAGGGATGCTATCTATCTTAGCTCCCTTTTAAACACACTGTGTGCTGCCATATTGCTGAAAAGTCCCGCAGCAACAAAACTATTTCATAGGAAATTGTTTAATCTGTTGTCTCCCGAAATTACTATTTTTCTCATCTTAAGTCTTAGAGTACAGATAATGAAGTGGCTGCCCTAAAGTGTGAATGGAGAAGAAATTTGATTGCTTTCAGATTGATCACAAAAATTCTTGCAATTGTCTTGTTCTCATTAAGCGCTGCACAAAAATGCAATTCTTTATTTCAAACTGGAGGTGGTCGTCCCATGTACGTGGCAGACTGCAGGCCAGGCCCTGGGTACATATCAGGTCATGAGACACGACCACTGCTCTGAAGAGCCTCTGTGGTCCTGTTTGGAGGTGAGCAGGGAAGCATGTGATTAAGTTCAGAGCAGTGATACGGGCTCCAGCAGCAGACAGCTGTCAGGAAACACGGAGCTCAGCACCTCACCCCCCTGGGGATTCATGCGTAAGATTTCCTACGTCTTAGGTGAGACTTGAAGGTGGCGAGAAGTTAGCCCAACAAAGGGTGACAGTGGAGAAAACTGTTTGAGAACCGAAGCCAGCTCAGAGCTGAAGTGGGAGCAGGGGGGCAATCATAATTTCAGGTTGAGCCCACATGAAATACTTTGTCAGCCAATTCCAAGGGGTCAAATACCAGCAATTTCTTATGGCTCTATACAGTACGAAGCTAGCATTTATCGAGCCTCAGTTTGTACCCGATACTCAGTAAAGCTCTATTTACAAACCACCTGGTTTACATCCATGATAATCTGATAAAGTATATACTACTTTTATTCACATTTATATATAAAGAAATGGAGCACAGAGAGGTTAAGTACTTGGCCAAGTTCACACCGCCAAGAATCATTAGAGCCTGGGTTGGCAACCACAGTCTGCTTCCAGGCGGGCTGGAGCCAGATCCTCAAAGAGGAAGGCTCTTTCGAGCCATGTATGGAGGAGCCTTGAAAGGGTGTTTGATGGGTGGTGGTTTGGTATATATATAGCAGCTTTATTCATAATATCCTTATATTGCACATAGCCCAGGTGGTCATCAAAAGGAGAATGGAACCCTAGCTGGTTTGGCTTTGTGGTTAGAGCCTCAGACTGTGGACTGAAGGGTCCCTTGTTCGATTTCAGCCAAGGGCGCATCCCTCGGTTGAAGGATCCCTGGCCCTGATCGGGATGCCTGTGGGAGGCAACCATTTGGTGTGTCTCTCTCACATCGATGTTTCTCTCTCTCCCCCTTCCACTGTCTCTGAAAAGCAATGGAAAAAAATACTCTCAGGTGAGGATTTAAAAAAAATAAGAAGAAGAGAGGAGTGGATAACCAGGTTGTAGCCTAATCACACAGTGCATTGCTGTAAGCAGCCTGGGGATGCAGGAGTCCCAGCAGACCTGGAGCTGTGCCTGTGGTGAGAACAGGCCGGGAGTTACCCCTGCCGTCGCATCAGGTCAGGGATGCAGTGAGCTCGGACCTACAGGCCAGGAAGGAGGTGCCCTGCTTCCCAGGGAGGCTCGGCCCTCCTCGCCAAATGCCTCAGTGCACACATACCCACATCTCCTGGCACTCGGGCTGCTGTCGCGGAGGCAAGAGTTGAGTAGAAACCTCATGAAAGAGTTTTGGAGCGGGGTCATTGACTGTTTAGGTTTGACTGTGTAGATCTCACTCCGGCTGCAGTGTAGAGAAAGTGATGGGTGGGTAAGAGCTAGAGACAGAGACACTGGTGAGGAAGGTCTTGTGGAAAGAGAGGGAAGAGGTTGAGGTGGCCTGGCCTTGGGTAGGAACTGAAGGGAGGGAGAGACAAGGCACAGGCTCCAGAGGTGTTCAGTACGTGGGGATGACACAGGGCGGAGTCGGTGTCAGCACTCACATTTCTGGTTTAGATCATCGAAGGGTTGCTGGGCTCATTCATCTGTAAACCTAGGGAGAGGAACATATTGGAGGAACCAGAAGATTTCGGTTTGGGAAGTATTTCCTTTGAGGAGCCTGTGGCACACGCAGCACGCGTGACTTATCGTAACTTGCTGAACGGTGCTGGTTATGGTGCAACTGAATAGCCTGCTGCAGAGCAAAATGTGGAATCGGCCATCATAGCCATCGCTTTCTGATCAGCTTTCTGCACTGCTCAAACCCGGTTTTTCTGTCTTTTCAGCCAGAGATAAATCGGAGCGAGCGTTCGGGGTGGCCTTCGTGAAGCTGATGAACCCAGATGGCACCACCCTGCAGGATGGGAGGCATGACCTGGTGGTTTATAAGGTGGTGCTAACAGAATGAGGCTCAGAAAATTGCTGAGGAAATAGTTACTCCTGAAATCGGTCCTGAAGGTTCCTTTCAGACTTATGTGTATAAACATCAAAAATTTCTCTAGAGCTACCTGTCTCTGCCCCCTTTAAGTGTAGAACCCCAGAGGGCTACATCCCACAGGCTGTGTGGTCTCCCACCCCCTTTTCTGGAGAGTAGGTTGATTTATTAGTTCGTCTCCCTCCCCTGCACATGGTGCCTGGGGCTCCCCTCTTGCCGTCTCCCCTCTGTGTCACCCTGCGTGGAGTGTAGACGGTTGCACTGTTGGGCTTGGTTAGAGTGTGGTGGGTGTGGTAGGATGTGGTTTTCATATCAGCCTGAGCCAGGTACCCCTTCTCGGCTGTCGGGCCTCGCTTCCTTCCCTGACAGTTTTGGCCTCTAACTGCCGCAGGGCTATCCTATCTACTGAGATTTTAGAGTAGGGTGTAGATGCTGGAAGATCTCATCCATCCAACAGTATCATGGAGTTGGCAGCTTTTTTGAGGCATATATACCTGATCTGTATTTTATAAGCTACTATTAGCCCATAAGTAGTTTCGGAGGGCAGGGCAAGCTAGTTCTTCCCAGCGACCCCAGTCTACCCAATGACGTATAATCGTGACCATTTAGAGGTTCAAGAAATGAAATCCAACCTTATTATTTAGTAGTATTTCGTTATAGCAGAGACCTAGGCTGTTCTTAGTCTAGCTCACATCTTACTCCCATGTTTATTCAGTTTGGAAATTGTTTCTGGGCCCCCACTCTGGGAGGGTATCGCAGTGTGTCAGCGCGGGAAGGGACCTCATTTCTTATGCTGGGAAGGCACTGTTTTCCCTGGCATGGAAGAGGCTTTGCCCATTGTTTGGCATTCCTGACATGCTGCCTTTTCAGGGAGATAACAAGAAAATGGAAGATGCTAAGTTCTACCTGACCCTGCCTGGAACCAAAGCAGAGATGGAAGAAAAAGAGCTCCAAGCATCCAAAACCCTGACCAGCTTTACTGCAACCAAGGAGAGTACGAAAGATAGTTTTCAGGTTGCCACCCTCATCTGCTCCACAAAGCTCACCCAGAACGGTAGGTGTGGGGACCACGGTGACAGCAGCGTGAGTTTTCTGCTTGGTCTTCCTGGGACCTCGGGTCAGCTTCAGGGGCTGGACCACGTGGGGCCACATCTTCTGAAGTGGGATGCTGGGCGCTTCGGCTTCTGCTCTCTGCTCTTCGCGTGAAGCTCTGGGTCTACAAGGTGTCCCCACCACCCAGCTGAAGCTCCTTCTCCGGTTTTGTTGTTCATCTTTCAAACGGGATGAAAAGCATTTGGGCATTTTTTTAATATTGTCAAACCTCTAAATGTATTTATTAACAGGGCCCACTCAGGTTTCTTTTCTGGATTTTATGACAGTATTTACTAAATGAAGTCTGAGCATATGGGAGAGTCAGGTTAGTGCTGACCTCTACTGTAGCAACCTTTAGACTTCTGTGCAAGTCTGTTGACAGTTGTTGTAAATTGGCATTTGTCATGCTACAAATTCTTTATAACTGACTTAATCATTTGCCATTTTTCAGCTTATGTACTGAAATGAACACATCCTATGGGGGGGGAAACGCTTTAAATTACGAACTCTATTCAAATTATGGCTTAAAGTGGGGTCCTATTCTGTACAAAAGAAATTAAGAATTTAATTTATGTAAAATTAGAAAGTCTTATGTTTCTTTCCTTCAAGGCTGCAAAGAACTCTGATAATGTGTCCTGTGTAATATATGTAACAAGCGATGTTGGTAGTAAGGGGGAGGACACTGGCAGAGAAGTAGAATCAGTCTCCTGCCCACACAGGTATGGCCGAGAGGGGGGAGGGTTCCCTGTTAGAGTTCCGTCTTTCCCCCAGATAGTCCTCTTTTTCCCATTTTTCCCCAAGCAGTCTTTTTTTTTTTTTCTTTTTTTTTTTTAATATGTCTTTATTGATTTTGGAGAGAGGAAGAGAGAGATAAAAACATCAGTGATGAGGTCACTGATCTGCTGCCTCCTGCACACCCCACACTGGGGATCGAGCCCGTAACCTGGGCATGTATCGAACCAGGAATCGAACCCTGATTTCCTGGATCATAGGTCGATGCTCAGCCGCTGAGCCACGCCCGGCCAGGCACCCAAGCAGTCTTAAATAATATCCTCCCGCAAGAAGGTTTAAGGAGGCAAGCTGATCTAAACCAGAGAGAAGCGAACTCCTTCGGCGTGGATGTAAAAGATAAAGAACCAATGTAATTTGTTCTGAGAAAGAAGAAGCTGGGGAATATTAATAAGCCATCCATCTCTGGGGGCATTTCCTGATCAAGAGGGAGTCATTCTCTGACATAGACCGTGACCAAAGGCATTTCTTCTTGCCTTAGAAGGACTATTCAGACTCAAAGGTTAAAAGCCACTGGCCCTTGTAGACTCTTTATTAATTTTTTCAAAACAAGAACAGACCAGTGTACATGGAATTATTTGTTGCAGGGCCCAGATGGAGGGTGAGGAAAGATTTGTTGTTCCAGGAAGGGAGAAGGGATTCGAGTTCCTGCAGGTGTGGGGCCTGGTGCCAGGTGGTGCACAGTCATGCAAACCCTAGCACAGGGAGACGCCAGCATTGTCATTAGTAACCTCAGCTTACTGCCCAGAAAGTTGAGTTAAAATGCTAAGATATTTTGCCTAAGATCATAAGTGGTGGTCTTGGGTCTGAAACTAGATATATAACTTCAAAGCGTATGGTTTTTGTTTCTTTTCTTTATTAAATGTTATGGTTTCTAATCCTTTCCCCAGGATATTCACTATTCTAAATTTGAGGATTGTCATTTAGAGTATCCTGAATTCTTACATACTTCCCTTGGGGATAGAAATTAGGGCAACTTTGGGTAGCATTTGATAATACCTAGTGCAGTCGAAGATGATCATTCCTGATGATCCAGAAATTCTAGTCCCGCCTTAGAGCTCAGAGAGGTTACTGCACCTAGATACCAGAAGACACATGGGAATATTCATAGCAGAACTTTTTGTGACTGCAAAAAATTAGAAGCAACCCGAATGTTGACAGAATGAATAAAAAATCATGGTACATTTATACAAGGGGATAGATATTATGCAGCAATGAAAGTTAGCTAGAGCTGTAGGCATCAACCTGTGCGGATCGCAGAAACACAGTTAGTCCAGGGCTGTCTCCAAACACTGTGCTACCACTTTTCTGGCCCCAAGACCTGTGATTCGCCAGATGCCAACTGGATTCCTAATGTGAGCAGTGATGTGCCTTACAAACATCCTCAGGGAGCACACTTCGGGCTGATCGATGGGCTCTTTGCAAGTGCTTTAAGCTGCTGGGTGACTGGAGTGTGTAAATCTTTTTTCTCAGGCAGCAGTGAGTGGAGTGAGGTATAGATGCTGTGGGACCATTGACTAGCCTGTGATAGAAGTAGAGATGCGAAGATGGAAGTTTACAGTGCTAAGCGGACAGGCCTAGCATGATGCCTGTTATTAAGTATGGGAGG